TGCCATTTACAATTGCATCAAAAAGAATAAAATACCTAGGAATCAACCTAACCAAGAAAGTGAAAGACCTGTACTCTGAACACTGTAAGTTACTTGTAAGAGAAATTAAAGAAGACACCAGTAAATGCAATAAATGGAAACCTAACCCATGCTCATGGATAGGAAGAATTAATATTGTCAAAATGGCCCTCCTGCCCAAAGCAATTTATAGAGTCCACACAATCCCTATAAAATTACCAAAAGCATTTTTCAATGAACTAGAACAAATAGTTCTAATATTCATATGGAACCTCAAAAGACCCTGTTTAGCCAAAGCAATCCAGAGAAAGAAGAACAAAGCTGGGGTATTACCCTCCTTGACTGAGGGATACAGTGTAGTGCCAGTGGGAATTGAGGATGTGCCCAAGAACATCAAGAGGGCAATAGACACATGTGGTCAGCCCAGTCTTTCTCTAGGAGATGCCAAACTCAAAAGATCAATGGTCATTGAAATGATAGAAAAACAATGATTATCTTAGAAAAGAAAATGATTTAAATACATACAGTACAGTGTTCTTTAGAACAACAGCTGGTTTTTGTAGAATGTTGGCAAATTTTATTTTCAGACACTGCTTAAAGGTTAAACATGATGCTTTGGAGACATGCATCATTGACTACACTTCCATTTTTGTCTACTGCAGTTGCTTATAAGCTCCTTATAACAGGTGCTTTATATTCAGTAAAATTATAGCAAGGAAAATTATGTCCTGAGAAGTTCGCTGATTGGCATAGTATGCAGTTTTTTACTAAGGTATCATTGATATATAGAAAACTTACTATATATCATTGATATATAGTAAAATAGTATGCAATTTTTTGTATCCAGGTGCTTTGGATTTTCCTAAAAATGGACATCTGGCAGTCAAGTACCATACTGTTCAACTGCCACCAAAAGAAAGGGTTTTACTTTATTGGCTGCTGTTTTGTCAGTCGGAGATAAAAACAATGGAAATTCCTCTCAACTCTCAGACAATCTCTGGAATATTTAATGGTTTGCAGCATTATGAAATATTTGAAAGTACACTTGAGAAAACTGTACATGAAGATTAATGAAAGAATGAATAGACACCATATCAGTGAAAGGATTTTTTTATGATGAGAACTCAGATTTTGCTGAAGGAATTAAGAATAGCTCTGGACAGAAGACAAGTAGTGACTCTGTGGCATCTTACTACACTGACGGACAGTGACTTCAATGGGGTATGGGAGGGGACTCGATAATATGGGTGAATGTAGTAACCACATTGTTTTTCGTGTGAAACCTTCATAAGAATGTATATCAATGATACCTTAATAAAAAAAAAAGCTCTGGACAATTTGTTTTTGTTCCTTTGATCTGGTAAATAGCAGCTACTGAATGAATATTGAGAAATTCAATTTAAAAAGCTACAGTAATGATAGCAGTACAATACTGGCACAGGAACAGACTCTCAGAAGGATAGCAGCCATGGACCTGATCCCAAGCTTTTCCACGGAAACCTAGGTCCTCCTGGCTACCAGCCTGGTGCTCCTCTACCTGTGAGTAACTGTCCAGCTCACCTCCTCTGTAACCTTGGACTAGGGTGCCATTCAGGCCCTCCTTTCGCTTATGTGTTTCGAAGATCTGAAAAAATTTAGTGAAAGGGAAGATGCCTGAACCTTTGTTTCTACAAACCTATATTATTGGTCTGCTCAGGGAGTAGTTACCATGCCCATCTCCCAATTTCTGAGGCTAGGAGGGCTTGGGGACATTACTGCTCATGGGGATGTTCTCATGCGCTACCAGGGTGGGCCTAGACTAATGCACCAGATTGCAGCAGAGACAGGTATAAACAACTGGCCGCTGAGTAGCAGGCTCCTCACCCCACTCCCAGGCTCTGGGGATCCTGGTAGCAGGAGGATGTGGTTGGGTTTTGTCTCATGATGTTGGCCTTCTGGGTTCTGTGTCGGCTGCAGGAGATGTGTAGAGGGGGTGGCCCCTGTGTCACTGAGGTGGCCCCTGCTCCCCTCCCTCCCACCATCACTCACACAGGACGCCTGGTGCATCCAGACTTCATGGGGGCTGGGAACTGCTCTGCTTTATCTTCAGACTGGCTCATCCCTCCTTTTGGTGCCCCTCCCCATCCCCCAGGAGCCCCTCCTAAGATTTGGTTCCCTGGCTGCGTAATGTGTCCCATGAGTGCTCTTAGAGCAGAGGAGAACTCTTGAACTTGTTTGCTGTTCTTTCTCCTTTCCCTTCCAGGCTCTATGAGGGTTAGCATCAGTATAGGCTTTCTGCTTCCCTGGCATGAAATCTGCTAGCAGCCTGCAAAGGCACAAGCCCAAAAGAGAATTCAGATTTTAAGTAGGTTTTCCCCTTAGTTACAGTACAGCAGGATGAATGAAACCATCTAGCAGAGGAATTCCTCTCAAAGGTGGGATTGCTGGCATCGTGGAGCAGGTTGGAAAGGAGTTGACATGTGGGGAGGGAAGGCCCTTCCAAGTCATGTCTGAGCTCTGTCTCAATTTCAACTTTCATTAAGAGTAGGAAATAATGATGACGTGGACACAGAAAATATAAACATCGTTTTAATTCTTTCAAAGAAATGTTAGGCATTCTGGGTATTGCGGCAACATATTTTCTGTCTGATGACATTGTATTATTAGTTTATATGATTTTAATTTCATTCTATTAATGCTACATGTTTTACCAAGATAAGGCTATTTCCAGTGTGTTCTTTCTGATGGACAAGAGAGGGTTGTTGGTTCAGTATTTGTGACTCTAAAGGTGCATACGTGATGGAACCCTTCTAGAATAAAGTCGGGAATATGAATGTAGAGTAGGAATGGGTGCTTCTGTGATACAGATTGTATGTTTCTAAGTGTGCCTGCCCTGTAGGGGCAGTTGCGTAAGTGAAACTGTGACCAGTGTCTAAGAGAGTCATCCAGGTAGGTCAGGATGGAGAGGAGAACATTCCTCCCTCTGAGCAGACCTCCCAGAGATGCTCCTTGGTGCCAGGACCGCAGAAGGTCACTCACAGGGCAGAGGGTAAGCATCTCTTCTTGTGAAGCCTGGGCCAGGGACACCATCTACGTCACACTGTGTGTGGTGTGTCTGGCAGTGGGGCTGAACAATAAACACCATAGATTTAGAAGACTTTGAAACAGCCAATAGTCAGTATGTGTAGACAATGCCCTCCTTGTGCCAACCCAAGGGGAACACAATAAGGATGATGTGCTTTATTGTGAGCACTTCATTTGTACTAACAACAGGGTTATGCTCCCAAAAAGAGGGAAGGTGGCAAGAGAGCAAAGGATTCACCCAGCCCATCCACCACCTTGATAGGGCACTGCGTGAGTGTAGATACTAGACCACATCTCTCTTTGGGAACCAATGTGCTGACATTCACTCAATTTCTTGGCTCACTGGAGAGTTCACGTGACAAGCTGAAAGTTCAGAAGTGCAGGGATTTGTAATGGTTGTGATTGCAAAGGGAGGAACTGAGGAGGAACTAACTGAGGACATAGTCAGGGCGCAGGTGTCCAGCAACAGCCTTGGAGGAGGGAAACACCTGGGTCAACTTGGCTGAGCTGCCTTTGTTGGGCCCTATAAACACGCCTCTTCCATGCAGTTTTCAGATTTATTTTTATCACTGAAGATTTTCTGGATTTGTACAAAAACTTTGTAACCTATACCACCTTGGGGGCTAACCTCCAAAAGGGAGACATCTCTTAATTCACTGTTCTGGAAAATTTTATGGTTACTCATTTTGTGTTGGATGTGTGTCTTCTACTGACAGGAAGGTACCTGAACTCTGGAAGTTTCCCTGTGTTTTAGCTGAAAGCACATGTAGGTTGAACCATTATACATAGCATACTTTTCAGACATACTTTCTTAATTTGCCTCTATAGAGTTAACCTTATAGGCCTAGCAAATTCATGGTTAAAGCAGTCACTGGCTGCCTCTTCCATCAGCCTCTCTGCTTTCTCTATTCTGCCACCTCTCAGTAACACTGGAGATGGAAGGCCTGCACGGATCCAGGACCCCCAGTCATGGGACAACACACAACACATGAAGGAGTGCCAGGCGTGTCAAAGAGAACACCAGCCTAACTGGATTTATGAGATGTTGACACACAGAAGTAGAAAACGAACTGTTTTTTCAATGACCATCTTGAAGCAGGAGTGTGTCTGGCACTATGCATAGCTGGGGAATAGAATGGGTTGGAGGACCAGATGCCTCAAGGGGCAGGATGGTGTGGAAAGGCATCATTGGTTCCTTCATTTGGGGAACACCTGGGCCAGTCACCCTTCTCTGCAGTCAACCAAGTCAACCAAACTGCCTGACAAGAGAGACATGGGTGCAGGTGAACTCACATTTCTCCAAGGCCAATGCAAGGCTTGAACATTTTTCATTCTATAGAACTAAGAACACTGTGGCAGCAACAAGGCCTTTTATGAAGATGATTTAAGGAGAACCCGGCCCCCCCCAAAAAGGATGTTGGTGTGAGAGGTGAGACAGAGAACTCCTCCCAAAACCACATATAATATGAAAATATAGTTAATACAACTAATCCTAAAAGAGCAACAGAAAAGAAGGCTGTGCCAGACTGCACACACCTGGAGAACAGAACAGATCTCACGAAACAGGAAACCTTGCGAATCAATGATACTTTAATAATTTTTTAAAAAGTGAAAAAAAAAAAAAAAGAAGAACCAGATCCTAAAACAGGGTCAGGGCATAGGGGGGAGGAAAGCACACAAGTGCCTCTGCAAACTGTAAGATCAGTGTCATGATAGGCTGTCAGTAACTCTCTTATTGGGTGGATTAACTTAAGCAAAATCTCATTACTGGAGTAGAAAAAAATTTTTCTCCTTCTACCTAGGAGGAGAATCTCTATAATCATAGAAAAGTCAGCTCACTAAATAGACATGAAGGAATAGCCTGGAAGAATTCCAGCCTGAACCTGTCAGGAGCACTTGCACGTGACAGCTCCCATCACATGGTCCCTCCGGGAGTGGACCACGAAGTCCTCAGCGGCTGTAGGCTGATTGCCGCCAGACCCTCGGGGTCTCCAGGAGGCGGGGAAGCAGGTGCTGCGGGAACGTCATCATTGCCCTTGGACTGGCTGCTGGTGTTTCCGGTCCACACACTTTGGTCCAAGCTTCCCGGTCCCCGTTCCGAGTCAGTGCCCGGCAGCCCCGGCAGCTGCTCCACAGTCCCTGTGACCTGCCTTCTCATTCACTTCACAGATACGGGACCTACTCGCATAGACTTTTTAAGAAGCTGGAAATTCCTGGGCCGACACCGCTGCCTCTTTTTGGAACTGTCCTGTCTTACCGCAAAGTGAGTGCTGTTTGAGTTCCCACTTTGCTTCTTGTGGTCGCAAATCCCAGTTTAGCTCATCCGTAAAACTGTCCGTCCCCAGACTTTCCTGAAATGGGATGTTTACAGATCACCTAGCAATGCCTGGTGCTCCCCATGGCGTTGTTGGGATTTGAGAGATGGACAGGAGCTTTCCGCCTCCTTCTGGGCCTTCAAAGGAGGCAGCGTGTGTGCGTGGGATGAGTGGGCAGTGGGGGTAACTGAGACAGGATGGTGGTTGTCCAAACTCAGATATTTGGTCTCTGAATGAGCTGTTACAAAGACAGAATCATTAGATAAAGTCACTAGAAAGTGTATGATTTGATGAAATTGTTCAAGTTTCACTGAGCAGAATGGTGATGCATGAACTGTGAATCTTGGTGGAGTCTTTGTGGTTAATCGTGCTCTGACCCCTCACCCCGGGCCCGGACCCTGGACAGAAGGGACCAGCTCACATCCAGGAGGCCAGTGAGCAGCGCCTTGTGAGCAGGCTGCTCTTTGCTTCAGAGTTCCTTTCCCTATACACAGGCTTGTCTCTCAGATCCTAATTCCCCCAGCTAGGCCTGCAGTGCCCAAGAATGTGCTGTATTTTATTCCTTGTGAAACATTTTTCCCTGTGAGAAAGCAGTAAGTTCCTTTCCACTTTTCCCAGATCCACTCCTTAGTAGATGCACCTGAACACCCACATTTCTGGGACTGTCTTTGCATAGTTAAAACTTCAAATGCCACAGCTGAAACTTAGTGACAGTAAGAGGTGTTTCGTAATTCCATAAATGAAACGTCAGAGCCAGTGCTGTGCTTTCCTTATTCCCACCTGCAGTGGGGGCACCTTCCTGCCTTCTCTGGGTTGAGCTGGAAATTGGAAGGCGAGTCCCTTGGTCATTCATTCACTCACTCACTCACTTTCTCACTCAAACATGCCTGAGACTTACTGGAATCCTCTAGATGACAGGAGGTCCCTGGTGTCTTTAACTTCCTAATTCCACTAGAATTCTAGAGAGGCTCATGAGACAAAGGAAAGGCTGCTGACTAGGAGTTCAAGGAGTGCTCAGGCCACTCTGCCTCCCCCAGCTCGGTGTCCTCAGGTGTCCATGGAGGTGATAACTCAGAGAATTTGGAGATGTTAGAGACAACACACGCACAGACAGGTCAGAAAGACAAGCAGTTACCTGGTATCCACAGACACGGTAAGTGATCAGTACCCACCATCCTGGGAGAAAACTCAGGAGTGACTTTCAATTCTCCTTTTCAAGTCTTTCCCCTATTTTCTCTCCTCTGCCCTCAGACATCTCTGGTGAGGGCTTCCCTCTGCCAGTGGAAGGTAGTCCGCCTGATTTCATGCCGTTCGAGTCATTTATGAACTGATTTGAGGTAGGGTTCAGTCCATTTAGATTAACAATGTAATTTTGTTTCTCCTTGCAGGGCTTTTGGGATTTTGACAAGACATGTTTTAAAACCTATGGAAAGATGTGGGGGTGAGTATTCTGGAAACTTCCACCGCATAGACTTGCTATGCTGAGGACCCCATTGGTGTGGAGGCCAGTCTCAGTGCAGAGCCTCTTGAGATGAGGTCATTTGCCAGAAAGCTTTTGGGGGCTGGTCCTACGAGGGCTCCCATCTGTCACAGGCGTCCAGGTCTATGGTCTGCATCAGGCCTGGAGGGTGGCAGGGTATCGCTTCTCTCCAGACGTTGGTGGCTCAGGGACTGTAGCATTCCACCCATGCCGCGCTCTCCCTTTCTCTACATTTTCCTTCCTTACGTCCCCTTTGATTGCATAGAATGCATTATTTCAGACCTTCTAATGTGTGCTCATGAATGCATTCTGTGACCTTTTTCCCACATAATTCACCTTTCATTAAAAGTCAAAAATCCTTTGTTTGGATTTAAATGCCATTTTGAAGAAGGACCAGAGGACAGTGTGATTAAGTTCGTACTGAACCTGGTGCCAGGGGCCCATCCCCAGTAATGGGCATTTTGACAGCGAGGAGGTCAGGCCGAACTGGGATGTGTCACAGACAAGGAGTCCCTTTGTGTGGTGTGTGGGTCACAGTGAGCCTGCCCTGCTGCTAAGGGGAGCCTCCTTCATGGAGCTCAGGGCCCTCTGGGACCCAGGTTTGAGAAGAAACATGTGGTGAGAAGAAAATATTGAACAGGTGAATTATATGTGCTCCTCTGTGTTTATTTCCTCTTTGTCCTTTTGTTTCAAAATTTTCTAACTTTACTGCTACCAAGAACCTGTCTTCAATAATTAAAATCATATTTCCACAAGTAAGCTAACTGTAGAAAATAGGACAAAAAAACATTCATTCAAAAAACCATTCATTATGATTTGTTTTGGAGCATTCCAAGTTTTTTCATTTGATGACTCATTTTTACAATATTTGTGGACAGTATATCTACAGTTCTCTTCTAATATTTTATATAGTTTTTTGTTTTTGATGTGTCTTTAAAATTTTAATTTTTAATGATTGAATGGGTGGTCTCTCCCTCTGTATTTTTTTTCTTAGTTTACTTGCTTTAAATTGTCTACAAACCTAACTTCATTTTTGAAAATGAAATGTTTTAAACATACAAAAATTATGAAGAATAGTATAGAAAATACCCATGTACACACCACCTAGACTTAATAAATGTCCCAATGTTCTTTCTAACCATGATCCTTAGAGTATGGATTATGTAATATCAGGATGAAATTCCAGACTTCCAGGTGTGGCTCCAGTTGCAGATATCGGCTTGTTAAATGTCATCAGCTCTTTTCCCCTCACAGGTTTTATGATGGTCGACAACCTGTGTTGGCTATCACAGATCCAGACATGATCAAAGCCGTACTAGTGAAGGAATGTTATTCTTTCTTCACAAACCGGCAGGTAGGCACCCATTTTTAAATTTACCATTTTATTAACTTATTCAATGTTTATTTTGAAAGAATTATTGATTCCAGGAAGTTGCACCAAAAATGTACAGGGCATGTACCCTTCATCCAGTGTCCCCCAATGGTATCATCTGCATAACTGTAGTACAATATCAAAGCAGGAAATTTGACATGGGTACTATCCACAGAGCTAATCAGATTTCAGCAGTGTTATGTGCCCTCATTTGTGAGTGTGTGTCTGTGTCTGTGTGTGTTGCTCTATGACACTACCATTTATATAGATTAGCATAACTCCCACCACAATCAAGTGACAGAGCTGTTCCACCCCTAACAGGCTCCCTCCTACTATTCTTTTATAGTCACGGTGTTCAGCTTGTCTTTTCCTCTTATCAGGGTCCTCAGCAGAACAATTTTTTTTGATAAGGCTCATCTATTGATTTTTCCTTTTGTGGGTTCTGAATTTGGTGTCAAGTCTGAAACCTCTTCACCTAGTCCTAGGTCCAAAGACTTTCTCCAGTTCTTTTTTCTAAATGTTATGTAGTTTTGTGTTTTCACATTAAGTCTATGATCCATTTTGGGTTAATTTTTGTATAAAGGGTGAAGTTTAGGTTGAGGTTCATTTTTTCCCTGTGATGTCTAATTGCTCCCCACAATTTGTCAAAAGGCTATTCTTCCTCCATTGTTTTTGCGCCATTGTCAAAAATGAGTTGGGCCTGTTCGTGTGGGTCTGTTTCTCATTCTCTGTTCTGTTCATTGATTGATGTGATTAACTCTCCTTCAGTGCCCCAACCTCGTTTACTGTCCCTGTTATAGTAAGTCTTCATATCACATAGAGTGGTTCCTCCCATTTTTTCATAATCGTTTTAGCTATTCTAGGTTCTTTCCCATCCTTACAAATTTAGAATAAGCTTATGTATATTTACAAAGTAGCTGCTCAGATTTTGAAAAGAATTGATTTAAACCTATAGCTCAGACTAGGGAAAACCTTTATCTTTCCCAGGTCAAGTATTTCATTCCATGAACACTGTGCATCTCTCCATTTGTTTGCTGTTTCTTGGAATCCTTTCACCAGCATTTTGTAGTTTTCAGCATAGATATCCCATACATGTTTCATTAAATTTACACCTGAAGTATTTTATGTTCTTTGGAGCAATTGTAAATGTTATTGTGTTTTTAATGTGGTTTCACATATTCATTGTTATTACATAGAAATGAGGTTGATTTTTGTGTGTTGACCTTCTTTCCTACAACCTTGCTGAGTTCATTTATTAGTTCTAGAGGTTTTCTTTTTCTGTTCCTTGGGTTTTTCAACATTGACAATCATGTCAACTGAAAATAGAGACACTTCTATTTCTTCCTCTGCATCTGTGTGCCTTTGATTTCTTTTTCTTGTACTAGTGCATCAGCTAGGATTTCCAGTATGATGGTAAGAGTGGTGAAAGTGGGCACTTCTGCCTTGTTCCTGGTTGTAGGGGGAAGCATTCGGTGTTTCACTATTTAAAAAATTATTTATTTATTTTTGACAAATAAAAATGTGTTTATCTGAGGTGTGTATATATATATATATGTATGTATATACACACACACAATGTGATGTTTTGGTATATGTATACATTGTGAAATGATTGCCACAGGAAACTGACTGACAGATGCAGCACCTCCCACAGTTTCCTTTTTTATATGGTAAGGAACATTTTAGATCTACTGTATTAGCAAATTTCAAGTATACGTATCATTTTACTAACTAAAGTCACCATGTATACCTTAGGTCTCTAGAATTCATTCATTGTATTTTGGAAGTTTGTGCCCTTTGTTCATTATTGCCCCTGCCCACTCTCCCTAGAATCTGATAGCTACTTTTTGACTTTCTGTTCTTGTAACTTCATTTTTTTTAGATTCCACATATAAGCGAGATAAACTGATATTTGCTCTTCTGTGTCGGGCTTAATTCATTTAGCATGTCATCCTCCAGGTTCTTCCATTTTGTGGGAAATAATAGGATTCCTTCTTAAGTATGAATAATCCATTGTACATATATGTGTGTATGTATATACATTTCCTTTATCCATTATTTTGTCCAACTACACATGAAGTAATTATTCATAGTAAGGACTTACCATTGACACTTTGTTAATCCAAGTGTTTTACAGATGCTTTGTTCCCTCTTCCTCTCTATCTTCTGATTTCATGATTTTTTTATAGTGGTAACATTTGAGTACTTACTGTTTCTTTTTTCTGCATCTACCATTGGTTTTTGCTTTGCGGTTTCCATGAGGTTTACATAAAACATGTATAGATGTAGCAGTCTATTTTAAGCTGCCTATTCTGTGCTGTTGTCATTCAAAGCTCAATGCTTTTACTTCCCAACACCCATTTTGTATTTTTGATGTCACAATTTGCATGTTTTTATTGTGCATCCACTAACAAATTATTTTAGCTTAGCTGTTTTTAATTCTTATCTCTTAAACTTTACATTAGAGCTATATGTGATTTACACAGAACCATTACTACTACTATTGTATTCTGATTTCGCTACATATTTACATTTACCAGTAAGCTTTATCCTTTCAAATGATTTCATGTTATTAGCTGGTGTCCTTTATTTTCAGTGTGAAGACCTTCCTTTAGCAGTTATGGTAAGGCAGTTCTGGGTGTGATGAACTCTTTCTACTTTTGTTTCTCTGGAAATGTCATTATTTCTCTCTTTCACTTATAAAAACTTACTTATCCATGTCAAGTATACTTCATTGGCAGTTTTTCCCTTTAGCATTTTGAATCCCACTGTCTCCATTGGGCTGCATGTATTATGAAATTCATATATTCACCAAGGGTTGAGAAGTTTTCATTCATTATTTCTCTAAATAAGCATTGTGCCCCCCTTTTTTCTCTAGGCTTCTAATAACATGATATTGTTTCATTTGGTGGTGTCCCACAAGTCATGTAGGCTTTCCTCATTCCTTTTCATGTTTTTCTCCTCTTTACTGGATAATTTCAAATGCTCCGTCTTTGAGTTCACTGATTCTTCTGCTTGATTGGGTGTTCTTTTGTAATTACATTGCATTCTTGAGTTTAGTCATTGTATTCTTCAGCTTCAAACTTTCTGTTTTTATGTTTTATGTTTCCTTGTTGAACTCCTTCTGCTTATGTATTTTTTTCTAATTTTGTTAAATAATTTTTCTGTTTCTCTTATAGCTCTTGGAGCTTCCTTAGAACAATTCTTTTGAATTCTTTGTGAGGCAATTTGTGGATTTCCATTTCCTCAGGGTCTGTTAATGTAAGTTTATTGTATTCCTTTGTTGGTATCATGTTTCCCTAATTCCTCATGATCCCTGTAGTCTTGCAATGGTGTCTGTGCTTTCGAAGAAGCAGATAGCTCTTTCAGACTTTATGAACTAACTTCGCTAAGGAAAGACCTCCTTTTGCAGGTTGGGGCACATGGGAGTGTGCTGTGGTCCTCGGTCTAGTGGGAAGGGGTGGCAAGTGTGTGTGTGGGGGAGGGGGCTCCCATTCCGCAAGAGCATGGTTGGTTCATGCAGCTGAGGTTCACAACATTACCAACTCATGATCGTTGGCAGCAAGGGGTATCGAGGGCCCGCAGTGGCTGTGAGGACTGTTGGGGTCTTCAGCAGCACTTCCAGGCCCAGTGCATGTAGAGGTGGTGGCCAGAGTTGGTGATGTGCACATATTCATCTATGGGGCCTGACTGCGGCATATGCCCAATATGAAACCCTTGGGGATAAGGCAGCAAAATTGGCAGGGGGCCATCAGGGGCTGTGCTGGCTGTTGTTTTCCTAATCAGCAAAGGCTGCTGAGGTCTTTTGCAGAGGACAACACACACAGAACCACAGTCCCTCCAGCTGCATGGCTGATGCTGGTAGTCCTGCCCCTCCTTTCTTCCTAGCTGTCTCTAGATGGCTCAGCTATGTCACCCTCTGGGTGTGGTGGCACCAACATGGGTCATTTGTGCAGTGCCCTGAAAGGCTGGAGAACTGTGTGCTCACCTGCTGTCCCTTTCCCTTCCGTGGGATCACTCTCACGCTGGGGAGCTAGCTCCCTCTTGGCACTGAGCAGGGCATGAGATGGTGCAGGCAAAACAAAATAATACCCCTTCCCTTTGTGCAGTTATTTCAGTTTGACACTCTGCTATGTTGCTGTACCTTCTAAGTGGGCTCCCGAACTCCCTTTGGTCTACTTTCGTCTGCAGATAGCTCAGTGCTCTTCTTCCTTTCGGCCGTGGAGGCTCTTCTGCCATCAGGGTGATGTCACTCACTCTTCCATCATTTAGGCTTATGTTGGCTCTATGGTTTCTTTAAGATGCCCTTGACATCAAGTTGAGGAAGTCTCTCTCTCCCCCTAGTTTGTGAGTGCTTATCATGAAAGGGTGTTTGAGATACGCATTTTAAAGAAAATATAATTTTGGAAGATAGAGGAAAGTTTCAAGCATGCTGGTTGGATAGGCTAGTCACAAGGTGAGAAACAGAAGTATGTCCCTTTTTCCCTTCTCTCCTTGGGTGAAAAGTATAGGGGAAGAAGATTTCCAGGTAATTCCAGCATTTCTTCAGAATATCAAATAGATTTCTAATCTTTTAAGTGTTAATTATTATCTTAAAAATCACCATATCAAGACATCTATTTTTCACATTTTCATGCTGTAGGTACATGTAAAGATAGAACAGGTCACAGGCAGATTCTTTGCCAGGATGCCTGGCTATATGTCTCAAATCCAGTTCTACTGTGCAGAGCCCATGAGAGTATACTGGTTCTTAACACTCTATTCCCCTGGAAGAATAATTTTCCTTCTATATGGGTGAAGTGCATATAAAAGATAATTGCAACATAAACCTGGAAACTACATCAGATGCCTGGATGTCTCCTGAACCCTCACAGGGAGGTAGGCCTTATAGAATAAATATTTACTGACCATCTAGCATAAGGCCTGCTACTAAGAAGACAGTCACTAAATATTTGTTGGATATTTGGTGTCCATTTAACAAGTTTTACAGAACGTTAGAGACCTCCACAACTTTATATGCCAAAAGGTCCTTTGTTTTTGACTAGAATCTTAGTCCAGTGAGATTTATGAAAAGTGCTCTCACAATGTCTGAGGATGAAGAATGGAAGAGAATATGAGCATTGCTGTCTCCAAGTTTCACCAGCGGAAAACTCAAGGAGGTAAGAAGATAAGAGGACTTCTGATTAGAAACTTAAAGTAACTTTTGCATCTGAGAACAGGTGCCAAATGTGACAGTCCATTTCCAAAGGGCAATATGCTTAATTTCAGCTCCCTAAAAAAGTTATTTTATCTATATGTCCCAGAACAGACATGGTAAGATTTGTTATAAATTGCAACTTCCTGCTCCATGCTTGTGAATGCCATGTCCTTCTAGCACGTACCTTGGCATTTATTTTGAGTGCGTCTTATTTTCCGTCTAGATGTTCCCCATCATTGGCCAGTATGGAGATGTGCTGGTGAGGAACCTGAGGAGGGAGGCAGAGACGAGCAAGCCCATCACCATGAAAGAGTAAGGGGGAAGGCAGCTGCTGGGATTCTGAGCTCTGCCCTGAGGCCTTCCCGCTGCTGCCACGGAGCTGACACTCCCGCAGAGGAGTTACCCCAGTGCCAGAGCAGAAGCGGGTGTGTGGGGGTAGAACTCCAGTGGGTCACCAGGGAGTGACCAACAGATGGGGCAGCCAGCAGAGAAAGGGTCTGCTCCTGTGCACACGGGTACTTCACTTTATATGCTACTGTTGGCCTTGGATATTTTGGAAGACAAAAATACATAGCTTAGCATGAAGAGACATGATCAGACCAAAGTTGTGAGAGTAGAGTCTGTGGACTGGTGGGAGGGGAAGGCACCTGGTGCTTACTGGTGGGCACTGGGAGGGGCAGGAAAGTTACAATGGGGAACTTGGAACAACCTAAATCCCTTCACCATTTGCTGAGGAAATCAAAATACTACATATTGATCCTTACCCCTGCATCTCTTTCCTTCAGTCTCTAAACAGAGGGGCCCTTGTACAGGCTATGGGTAATGTGACCATATCGGTTACAGTCTAAGCTCAGATATTTAATTACTCAGAAACAACAAGTGTACCCTGGGCTGTCCTGGAACAACTGGGACATGCGATCACTGTTATGGGATCCCAAAATCAGAATCCGAGTGATATAACATTATTTTTTTAAACAAAATCTTTCTCAGTTCTACATTTACAGATGCGAGTCTGCCCTCAGGGCACCCTCAGATCACAGTAGCTGAGGAAGAGTGGGTCTCCCAGGAGACTTAACATGGGTGCAGACAGGGAGGGAGGACGTTGGCCGGCAAGTGAGAACAGGGTGTTGCTGTTCTGTGTGTGCTGAAGAGGAATCAGCTGAGCGTAGCTGCTGCGGTGAGGCAAGACCCAGCTCAATGTCACCTTCCTTGACACCCAGGAAGAGTTCATTACTCCACCCTTTGCCCTCATCAAGCACAGGCTCACACACCTCCCGTGGCCCACACTCAAAATGCACAACTGCATTTTGTCTGATTGTGGGTCTCCATCCCTCTGTGGCCAAGCTCCTTGAGCTCAGAGGTGGGTCTCTGACCTCAGTGCCCCAGTACCCACAGCACAGGGCCAACACATATCACTGGCACCTCATGAGCACCCCAGGAGTGAGTGTGATGGCAGCATAGACACCTCAGCTGGCCCAGCAGGTGGCTCTGAGAGTGTGTGTCTCCCTGTCGTCCCTGGTTATGAAGTTACATGCTCTTCCTGGTGCCTGTGCTGGGTAAGGAGAGTAAAGTGGTGCTGGCTTTAATTTCCATGTGTTTCTCTCTCTCCTCAGCATCTTTGGGGCCTACAGCATGGATGTGATTACTAGCACATCATTTGGAGTGTATATTGATTCCCTTAACAACCCACAAGATCCCTTCGTGGAAAATGTCAAGAAGCTCTTGAGATTTAATATGTTTGATCCACTCTTTATCTGCGTAAGTATGTGGACACTATGTTTCTGTTCCTTCCATTCTCCCTCCCTTCCTACCTCACTCTGTCTCCCCTCTCTCTCTCTTTTTTTCCAAGCTGCTTTATGAGATATCATTCACATGCCATATACTTCCATTTATAAATACAATTCAGTGGTTTTGCAACCTGTGTCCATCAACAGGTGAATGGTAAAGAAAAGTCAAGTTATATATATATATACAATGCTATTCAGCCATAAGAGGAAGGAAAGCCTGCCATTTACCATAACATGGATGGACCTTGAGGGCATTATGCTTAGTGAAATAAATCAGACAGAGAAAGACAAACACTGTATGGTCTCATTCATATGTGGAATCTAAGAAAAAGCAAACTCATACAAAAGCAAGATCAGATTTGTGGCCTCTCGAGGTAGGGTTTCAGGTATAGAAATTGAAGGTGGTCGTGGACACAAACAAAACTTGTAAGATAGGAAAGTACTGGTGATGTAATGTACAACCTGATGACTATAGTCATACAGTACAATATATGACTATAGTTAACACTGCTGTATGTGATATTTCTAAGTTGCTAAGAGAGTACATCCTAAAAGTCCATCACAAGGGAAAAATGTTCTAGTATCTGCATGAGGCGATGGCTATTAGGTAACCCTACTGTGGTAATCATTTTGCAGCATATGTATCTCTAGTTGTCATGCTGTATGCCATAAATCTATACAGTACTGTGTGTCAATTTTATCTCAATAAAATAAAAAAAATGTTTTAATCCATTCATTGATGTGCATAACCATTATTTTGATCTTTTAATGAGCATTTTTTAAACTCAGAGACCCTGTACCTTTTAGCTACCACCTCCCACACAACTTAGCCCAGAACAACCACTAATCTACTTTCTGTCTCCATAGGTTTGCCTATTCTGGACATTTCACATAAATGGAATAACATTATATGTGGTCTTCTGTAGCTGTCTTCTTTCTTTTAGAATAATGTTTTCAAGGTTCTCCGTGCTATAGCATGTAGCATGTATTCCTTTCTTCTTATGTCCAAAAAATATCCATTGTATGGTCTTTCTGCATATTGTTTATCCGTTCATCAGTTGGTGGACATTTGGGGTGTTCCCACCTTTTGGCTATTGTGAGTAGTGCTGCTGTGAACATTCCTGTGCAAGGTTTTGTTTGGATACATGTTTTCGATTAATTTGTGTATGTATTTGTTAGGAGGGGGATTGTGAGGTATATAGTAAATCTATGTTTACCTTAATAAGGAGCTGCCAAACTGTTTTCCACAATAGCTACTCCATTTTACTTTCCCACCAGTAATGTATGAAAGTTTCAGTTTCTACACATCCTTGCAGACACTGGTCAACACTTTCCATTCTTTTTTAAATAATGGCCGTCCTAGTGGGTGTGAAGTGGTTTTGATTTGCATTTCTCTAATGGCTAGTGATGTTGAACAACTTTTTATACACTTTTTGGCCATTTTATGTCTTCTTTATATAAATGTCTTTAAATCCTTGCCCATTTATAGTTGGCTTGTGTGTCTTTTTATTGTGGAGTTGTAAGAGTTCCATATATGTTCTAAATAAAAAGTCTCTATTAGATATATAATTTGTGTAATTTTTTCACCTATTTTGTTGGTGTCTTTTCAGTTTCTTGATAGTTTCCCTTGAAGCACAAACTATTTAATTTTGATGACATACAATTTGTGTATTTGTCTTTTTTTTTTGGTCTGTGTTTTTGGTGTCATATTCAAGAATTCAATGGCAAACCTGATTATGAAGAATTACCCCTTTCATCTATGAGCTTTAGCTCTTATGCTTAGGTCTTTGAGCCATTCTGAGCTTATTCTATATGGCATGAGGTAAGAATCTGAATTCAGTTTTTTCATGTGGTTAAATTGTTGTCCCAATAGCACTTACTGAAAAGACATTTTTACTCCATTGAATGGTCCTGGAACCCTTCTCAAAATTCAGTTGACCATAGACATGTGAGTTTATTTCTGGACTCTGAATTCTATTCATTGGTCTATGTGTTTATCCTTATTCTAGTACTACATTGCCTTGGTTATTATAATTTTATGGTAAGTTGGGAAGCAGGAAGTGTGAATCCTACAAATTTATTCTTTTTTTATTCCACATTATTTAGGCTATTCTGGATCCCTTACAATTCCATATGCATTTTAAATTCAGCTTGTCAAGTTTTGTAAAGAACCTAGTTAGGTTTCTGATAGGGAACATATTAATCTGTAGATCAATTTGGGGAGTGTTGCTATCTTGACAATATTAAGTTTTCTGATACATGAGTTTGGGGATGTTTTCATTTACTTAGATCTTTAATTTATTTCAAAAGTGTTTTGTAGTTTTCAGAGTACAAGTTTTGCACTTCTTTTGCTAAAATTATTCCTACATATTCAATACTTTTTGACCTTGTTTAAGTGGAGTTATTTTCTTAATTTCACTTTTGGACTGTTTATTGTACTGCACATTAGTACAATTGGTTTTGTATATTGACCTTGTATCCTGAAACACTGCTGAAGTTCTTTATTGGTTCTAATAGATTTTTAGTGGATACTTTAGGATTTTTCTATATATAATACCACACTATCTGATAATATAGTTTTACTTGTTCATTTCCAGTATGAATACCTTTTTTTCTTCCCTAATTCCCCTGGCTGGAGCCTCTAGTACAATGTTGAATAGAAGTGGTGAGACATGCTGGTCTTGTTTCTAACTTTAATGGAAAATATGCAATCTTTCATTGTTAACTATGGTGGATTTTTCATAGGTTTGAGGACCTTCCCTTCTATTTCTAGTTTGTTGTTTGTTTTTATCACAAAAAGGTATTAGATTTTGTCAAATACTTTTTCTGCATTATTAAGATGATCATGAGGTTTGGGATTTTATTCTATTGCTATTACACAACCTTGACTTACTGGGGTAAACTTCGCTTGAGTATGGTATATACTTCCTTTTATATGTTGCTGGATTCAGTTTGCTAGTATTTTGCTGAGGATTTGTGTATCCATGTTCATAAGATATGTTGGTATGTAGCTTCCTTTTCCTGTGATAGCTCTGTCTGGTTTTAGTATCAGGATAATACTGGCCTCCTAGATTGAGTTTGGAAGTGTTCTATTTTCCATTTTTGGAAGAGTTTGTGAAAATTATGGAGTTAATTCTTCTTTAAATATTTGATAGAATTCACCTTCAAAACCATCTGGATGGTTTTGATGTAGTCCCACTCTTCATTATTTATATTGTTTCCCTTGCCTGAGGAGATGTGTCCAGGAAAAAATTGCTCATACTTACGTTGAAGAGATTTTTGCATGTTTTCTTCTAAGAGTTTTTATGGTTTCATATCTTATATTCAGATCTTTGATCCATTTCTAGTTTACTTTTATGTATGGAGTTAGTAATCCAGTTTCATTCTCTTGCATTTAACTGCCCATTTTTTCCAACACCAGTTATTAAAGAGGTTGTCTTTTCCCCATTGTATATTCATGGCTCCTTTACTTTATTATTTTTATTAAGTTATCATTGATATACAATCTTATGAAGGTTTCACATGAGCAACATTATGGTTACTACATTCATCCCTATTATCAAGTCCCCACCACATACCCCATTGCAATCACTGTCCATCAGTATAGTAAGATGCTATAGAGTCACTACTTGTCTTCTCTGTGCTATACTGCCTTCCCTGTGCCCCCGCTACATTATGTGTGCTAATCATAATACCCCTTAATCCCCTTCTCTCTCCTTTCCCACCCATCCTCCCCAGTCCCTTTCCCTTTGATAACCACTAGTCCCTTCTTGGGTTCTGTGAGTCTGTTGCTGTTTTCTTCCTTCAGTTTTTGCTTTGTTGTTATACTCCACAAATGAGTGAAATCATTTGGTACTTGTCTTTCTCCACCTGGCTTATTTTACTGACCATAATACCATCTAGCCCCATCCATGTTGTTGTAAATGGTAGGATTTGTTTTCTTCTTATGGCTGAATAATATTTCATTGTGTTTATGTACCACCTCTTCTTCATCCATTTATCTACTGATGGACATTTAGGTTGCTTCAATTTCTTGGCTATTGTAAATTGTGCTGCAATAAACATAAGGGTGCATATATCTTTTGAATCTGGGATCTTGTTTTTTTTGGGTAAATTCCTAGTAGTGGAATTCCAGGGTCAAATGGTATTTCTATTTTTAGTTTTTTGAGGAAACTCCATATTGCTTTCCACAATGATTGAACTAATTTACATTCCTACCAAGAGTGTAGGAGGGCTCTCCTTCCTCCACATTCTCACCAGCATTTGTTGTTGCTTGTCTTTTGGATGGTGGCCATCCTAACTGGTGTGAGGTGATATCTCATTGTGGTTTTAATTTGCATTTCTCTGATGATTAGTGATGTGGAGCATCTTTTCATGTGCATGTTGACCATTGAATTTCTTCTTTGGAGAAGTGTCTGTTCAGATCCTCCGCCCAATTTTTGATAGGGTTATCTGCTTCTTGGCTGTTGAGGTGTATGAGCTCTTTATATATTTTGAATGTTAACCCCTTATCAGGTATGTTGTTTACGAATATATTCTCCCATACTGTAGGATGCCTTTTTGTTCTACTGATGGCATCCTTTTCTGTACAGAAGCTTTTTAGTTTGATGTAGTCCCATTTGTTCATTTTTGCTTTTGTTTCCCTTGCTCAAGGAGATGCATTCAGAAAAAAGTTGCTCATGTTTATATTCAAGAAATTTTTGCCTGTGCTTTCTTCTAAGAGTCTTATGGTTTCATGACTTACATTCAGATCTTTGATCCATTTCGAGTTTACTTTTGTGTATGGAGTTAGAGAGTAATCCAGTTTCATTCTCTTACATGTACCTGTCCAGGTTTGCCAACAGTTGTTGAAGAGGCTGTCATTTCTTGATTGTATATCCATGGCTCCTTTATGATATATTAATTGGCCATATATGTGTGTGGGTTTATATCTGGACTCTATTCTATTCCATCAATCTATGGGTCTGTTCTTGTGCCAGTACCAAATTGTCTTGATTACTGTGGCTTTGTAGTAGAGCTTGAAGTCGAGGAGCGTAATCTCCCCCACTTTGTTCTTCCTTCTCAGGATTGCTTTGGCTATTCAGGGTCTTTCGTGGTTCCATATGAATTTTAGAACTATTTGTTCTAGTTTGTTGAAGAATGCTGTCAGTATTTTGATAGGGTTTACACTGAATCTGTAGATTGCTTTAGGCAGGGTGGCCATTCTGACAATATTAATTCTTCCTATCCATGAGCATGGGATGTATTTCCATTTATTGGTGTCTTCCTTAATTTCTATCAAAAGTGTCTTGTAGTTTTCAGGGTACAGGTCTTTAACTTCCTTGGTTAGGTTTATTCCTAGGTATTTTATTGTTTTTGATGCAGTTGTGAATGGAATTGTTTTCCTGATTTCTCTTTCTGCTAGTTCATCGTTAGTGTATAGGAGTGCAACAGATTTCTGTGTGTTGATTTTATATCCTGCAACTTTGATGAATTTAGTTATTCTAGTAGTTTTGGAGTGGATTCTTTAAGGTTTTCTATGTACAATATCACATCATCTGCAAACAGTGACAGTTTAACTTCTCCCTTGCCAATCTGGATGCCTTTTATTTCTTTGTGTTGTCTGATTGCTGTGACTGGGACCTCCAGTACTATGTTGAATAAAAGTGGGGACAGTGGGCATCCTTGTCTTGTTGCCAATCTTAGAGGAAAAGCTTTCAGCTTGTCACTGTTAAGTATGATGTTGGCTGTGGATTTGTCATATATGGCCTTTATTATGTTGAGGTACTTGCCCTATGTTGAATGTTTTTTTCATGAGTGGATGTTGAATTTTGTCAAATGCTTTTTCAGCATCTATGGAGATGATCATGTGATTTTTGTCATTCTTTTTGTTGATGTAATAGATGATATTGATGGATTTTTCCAATTTCGTACCAGCCTTGCATCCCTGCATAGCTCCTTTATTGTATATTAACTGATCATATATACATGGTTTTATATGGGCTCTCTATTCTGGTCCATTGATATATGGGTCTGTTCTTGTGCCAGTACCATACTGTTTTGATTACTGTAGCTTTTTAGTACAGCTTGAAGTCAGGGAGCATAATAGGCCAGCTTTGTTCTTCTTTCTCAGGATTGCTTTGGTTATTCAGGGTCTTTTGTGGTTCTATATGAATTGTAGAAGTATTTGTTCTAGTGTTCACTGAAAAATGCTTTTGGTATTTTAATAGGAATTGCATAGAATCTATAAATTGCTTTGGGCAGAATGGTCATTTTGACAATATTAATTCTTCCTCTCTACTCAAAAGGGATAGGTTTCCATTTATTTGTGTCTTTTTTCATTTCTCTTACGAGTATCTCATAGTTTTCATACTATGAGAACCTAACCTTCTTGGTTAGGTTTATTGCTAGGTATTTTATTCTTTTTGATGCAATTGTAAATGGTATTGTTTTCCTAATTTTTCTTTCTGATAGTTCATTGTTAGTGTATAGGAACACACCATTTTTATGTGTATTAGCTTTGTAACCTGCAACTTTGCTGAATCCAGTTATTAGCTCTAATAGTTTTTTGGTGGTGTCTGTTGAGTTTTCTATGTATAATATTATGTCATCTGCAAATTGTGATAGTTTAACTTCTTCCATACAAATTTGGATGACTTCTGTCTCTTCATCTTGTTTGATTGTCATGGCTACAACCTCCAGTATTATGTTGAATAAGAGCGGTGAGAATGGACATCCTTGCCTCTTCCTGATCTTTGAGGATAGGCTTTCAGCTTTTCACTATTAAGTATGATATTTTCTGTGGGTGTGTCATATACGGCCTTTATTATGTTGAGGTATGTTCCTTCTATACTCATTTTGTTGAGAGTTTTTGTCATGAATGGATGTTGAATTTTGTCAAAGGTTTTTTCAGAATCTACTGAGATGATTGTGTTGTATTTATCCTTCTTTTTGTTAATGTGCTGTATGATATTGATTGATTTATCAATATTGTGCTATCCTTACATCCCTGGAATAAATCCCACTTGGTCATGATGGATGATCCTTTTGATATATTTTTGAATTTGGTTTGCTAATATTTTATTGAGCATTTTCGCATCTATGTTCATCAGGTATATTGGACTATAATTTTCTTTTTTTGTGGTGTGTTTGCCTGGTTTTGGTATTAAAGTGATGCTGGCTTTATAGAATGAGTTTGGAAGTATTCCCTCCTCTTCTACTTTTTGGAATACTTTCAGAAATATGGGTATTTGCTTTTCTTTAAATGGTAGAATTCAGCTGTGAAGGCTTCCGGACATGGAGTTTTGTTTTGTGGTAGTTTTTTAATTACATTGCTGGTAATTGGTCTGTTCAGATTTTCTGTGTCTTCCTGGGTCAATCTTGGAAGGTTGCATTTTTCTAGGAAGTTTTCCATTTCTTTTAGTTGCCCCATTATTGGCATATAATTTTTCATAGAATTCTCTAATAATTCTTTGTGGCATCCATTGTGAGTATTCCTTCTTTGTTTCTGATTTTGTGTATTCTCTCTTTCTTGTTATGTCTAGCTAGGGATTTATCTATTTTGTTTATTCTCTGAAAGAATTAGCTCTTGGTTTTATTGATTTTTCTATTCTTTTTTCTTCTGTATTTTATTTATTTCTGCTCTGATCTTTATTACATCTCTCCTTGTACTAACTTTGGGTTTCTTTTTTCTTTCTTTCTTTTTTTAGTTTGTTTAATTCTGAGTTTTGACTGTTGGCCTGTATTGCTATGTACTTCCTTCTTAGAACTACTTTTGCAGTGTCCCACAAATCTTTGACTGTTGTACTTTTGTTTTCATTTGTCTCTATGTATTGCTTGATTTCTATTTTAATTTGTTCATTGATGCATTGATTATTTAGAAGCATGTTGTTTAGCCTGTACATGTTTGTTTTATTTGTGTAATTTACTTATAGTTTCATACCATTGTGGTCTGAGCTATTTGATATAATTTCAATCTTTTAAAATTTATTGAGGCTCTTCTTGTGGCCTAGTATGTGATCTATTATGGAGAATGTTTCAAGGACCCTTGAGAAAAGTATATATCCTGCTGTTTTTGGGTGGAATGTTCTGTAGGTATCTGTTAAGTCCATCTTATCTAATGTATTATTCAGTGCCTCTTTCCTTATTTATTTTCTGTCTGGTTGATCTGTTATTGATGTGAATGGTGTGTTAAAGTCTCCTAAAATGAAGGTGTTGCAATCTATTTCCCCCTTTAATTCTGTAAGTACTTGTTTTACATGTTTAGCTGCTCCTATATTGGGTGCATAAATATTCACAATGGTTATATCCTTTTGTTGGACTGACCCCTTTATCACTAGCAATGTCCTTTTTTGTCTCTTCTTACTTTTGTTGTTTTGAAATCTATTTTGCCTGATATAAGTACTGCTGTCCTGCTTTTTTCTCCCTATTATTTGCATGATCTATCTTTTTCCATCCCTTCACTTTGAGTCTGTGTATTTCTTTGGGTCTGAAATGAGTGTCTTGTAGGCAGCATATAGACGGGTCTTGTTTCCTTATCCATTCTGCCACTCTGTGTCTTTTGATTGGTGCCTTCAGTCTATTTACATTTAAGGTAATTATTGATAAGTATGTACTTACTGACATTTTATTAATTGTTTTCTGTTTGTTTTTGTAGTTCCTCTCTGTTCTTTTCTTCCTCTCTTATTCTTCTCTTGTTATTTGATGGTTTTCTTTAGTGTTGTGATTGGATTTCTCTTTTTTAATTTTTTGTGTATCTATTATAGGCTTTAGGCTTGTGGTTACCCTAAGGTTCAAGGATAGCTTCTGACTATGTAACAGTCTGTATTAAGTTGATGATTACTCTATTGAAACACAAACTATGAGTACTACTTTTTTCTTCTTTATGTATTAGATGTAATAATCTTCACTTTTTGTGTATCTCTTGACTGGTTTAGTGTATAGTTGGTTTTACTGCTTTAGTTTTGTTTTAATTTCATACTCACTTGTTAAGCAATTGTTCTATAACCTTTATGTGGGTTTATAAACTATTTACCCCTAGGAACATTTCCATCTACAGCAGTCCCTTTAACATAATGCTAGTTTAGTGGTTATAAATTCCTTAAGCCTTTGTTTATCTGGGAATTGTTTTCTCTGCTTCAAATATGAATAGTAATCTTGCTGGGTAGAGAATGCTTGGTTGAAAGTCCTGTTTCAATACATTAAATATTTCATGCCACTCCCTTCTGCTCTGTAAAGCTTCTGCTGAGAAGTCTGCTAATAGCCTGATGGAGTTTCCCTCAAAAGTAATCTTTTTTCTCTTTCTGGATGCTTTCAATACTTTCTTGTTATCTTTAATCTTTGTCATTTTCATCATTATATGCCTTGGGGTTGTTTTCCTGGGTTTCCTTTTCTTAGGGGCTTTCTATGCTTCCACAACCTGTGTGTGTATTTCCTTCCCCAGATTGGGGAAATATTCAGTATCTCTGTATTTCCAAAAAGTGCCACTAGTTTTTTCACAAAATCTGTAAAAAGGATTAAAAGTCACCTCAAAGATACACAAAAGGTAAAATCTTGTGGCAGTGACAAGGGGGTGTTCACTTTTTGAAAATGTGTTCAACTGTATATTTTCAGTGTGTGTACATTTTTCATAATCTTAGGCAGGTAGAAAACTCTATGTTAAGGTTAGGAGAGTTGTAACATTTTGGTGGGAATGTAGAGGCTAGATTTTGGGAAGCATGTAAGAAAATGAGTCAGAGAGACAGTGTTTAAATTTAATGGAGGCATGACAGTATGCCACTACATGAATAGCATAGAGATGAAAACTTTAGCACTTTCCTTCAATAAATTGTCAAAGGATAAAAATTAACATTTAAAGATTATTTCACTCTTCTCATAATTTTCCCAAATTTTGGATTGGCAAAGAATCACTTCAATTTCAAGCCTCTTATTTTACACATTTTATAATGGAAGCCCCATCAGGCTACCTAGTGGAGTATAGTATGTTAAACTTGACCCCGTCGTGATCTGGACATGGCCAGGAGTCTTCTTTGGACATTGAGGCTGCAGGCCGGCTAACACAGCTTTGCCTTTATGAGGTCTGGACACCAGTACAAGGATGTCTACAGTCCAGGAGACAGGGCTGGGTACCCAGGGTGGCAATGGAGGTTGCACAGACATTTGGGAGGGTGGGACACCGCACGATGCTCACATGAAAGCTGCCGGTGAACTCTGCAAAGGTCACAAGTTAATCTGTGTGGCTCTTCATTATGAAGTAAGGCTGGAGAAAATAAAAAGGATTGAAGTCAGGACTTCCTCCTGACTATCAGACAGGATGAGAGAGGTGCAGGCACCTTGATGAGCAGGAAGCTGTGTTCAAAAGCCAGAGAGACCAAGAATCAGAGAAGGTAATAACTGAAAAGCAGTTGGACAGGATGGCTGGATTCCTCTCAGGGAAACATCCTGATCTACAAGATTTTTAGCTGTATATTTTTGTTCACTGATGACCTCAGTCAAGACTCTATTTTCAGGAAAGGGGTAAAGTACTGGCTGATTTCTGACTTCACAAGTGACTTTCTGTTATTGAAATTTCTCTGTTTCTAGCACCAAGTGGATCTTATGCAGCTGATGAGTAACTCCCAGAATTCCAAAGAAATGGATGGCCATAAAGGTAACCAAGGAGGGCTTCAGAGGGCATGCTACAGGGGGACTGAAAGGCAGGGGTGGTTCTGAAGACAAGCAGGAAGTTTTTCAGGCAGATGAGACACTTGTTAAATTTAACATGTAGCAAGAAGCACGTTCCAGAAGCATGCAGGCAAAACTCTGTAGAAGGCTTGGAGGCAATCATAAACTATTTTGTGCCGAGATGTCCATCTGTGGTCTATGGATCACCTACATCAGGACCTCGATGGTGCCTCTCTTCAGTGTGAGTTCTCAGGCCTCACCCAGACACACTGAATCAGAACCTCTGCCTGGAGACTTGCATCAAGGCTTCATCACATTAGGAGGCACATTGCTCCTGGTTGATGGCCTCTGGAATTTATAGCAGGAGAGTGTGAACACTTTGCAAGCCGGTGGAGGTAGGGGAAGGAAATAAGAGAATGGGTCAGAGAGACAATTGTTAATAATCAAAAAGTAGGCATGACTTGCAGCACTTGGTTAAAGTTGTGTTCACTAGCTTAATCTCCTATAAAGTTTTATTTTTCCCTTTTTAATTAAAAGTAATCGTGGTGGATGACTGTGAACCTGTGTAAATATTGTGTTCCTCTTCAAACTTTCACTGTCTAGTTTTATCACCCAAGGATGGTTTTTTGACTGAAACTATGAATTACTGTGATGACTGCAAAATGAACTTTCAAATTCCATCATTTCTTCTACATTCCTGAGTTGATGTTCCATTGTCAGGGAGAGCTTTCCATTCTCCCACGTTTACTTACCATTTATTTTTATCACAAAGATCTCATAAATTAATAATTCATTGTCTTACATTATTCTTCATTTTGATCCTCAAGTTCCCACAAGGTCTATCCACTGAAAACCCTTCCAAGTGGGCTTTCATGTAATTTTTTCTTCTCCTTTTTAAAATTATTTTATTTACAATAAATTCTTTTTTATCACAACAGTAAAAACTATACTGTTGTAGTTTCACAGCAAAACTGAGCAGAAAGCACAGCTATTTCCAGCACACTCCCTGCCCCCTCCCCACACAGCTCCCCTCACTGTCAAACCCCTCCCAGGAGTGGACCTTTGTCACACTCAGTGAACCTGCAATAGCACATTATTATCACCCAAAGTGCACACTTTACATTAAGGTTCACTCTTGGAGTATATTCTATGGGTCTTCAGAAATGTGTAGTGCTGTGTATCTCCCATTATAGTATATAGACTATCTTGTTTCCTTTTCACATACCATTTTCTGAGCTCTTCTTGGCTTTCTGGTAGGAGAGATTCTAGGTTTCTCTTCTATTTTCCCTGACAAAATCTGGAATCTACCATTTCTCCAAGAAACCTAGGTTCCTTTTAGTGAGAAATGGTATTTAAAAACCAAAATCTGGGATGTAGGAATGCTCATTGTTACTAGGATTTCTTGGTTTCTAGATCTTCTTAGTGCACAAAGCTGAGAACATCAAATATATTTACACATGACTGATAAACATACATATTTCTTTATCTACCCATAACCATTGTTGTAAACATGTTGTCTCTCAACAACAACAAAAAAGCCTTGATGTATAGTTTACTTCTATGACATAAATACTCCCATGATGGTTAATTTTAAGCTACCAATGGTTTGAGAACCATCACACAAAATTCCTGAAAGTTTAACAATCAGTTGTAGAGAATAAGGATGACTCCAGTACAGTACTAAAAGATATCTTTTTCCTTACTTCTATCTGAACTTTTTGTGATGAAGTAAATAGTCAATATCTGTAAATAGTCTATGTAATTACTGGACACATGTAGCTATTGAGCACTTCATATATGGGTAGTGCCACTGAAGAGATGAAACTGCATTATATTTAAATTTAGTCAATTGAATTAAAATTTAAACAGCCACATGGGGCTAGTGGCTAACGTACTGAAAGCAGAGCTCTAAACTTTGAGTATCATGTGTTTCATGTTAACTCCATAGAGGAAAGAATTTTCTAGAGGAATTATCCACAACAGCATCCTAGAAACCATCAGAGAATCAGAACTCTGGAGACCTTTCTTACATGCATTTTGTATTGTTTTTAGTTGTGAGGCACATGGTTGTGGCAGGTGCCATATTCATTACAGTGCTTAACTATCTAAAGGTTCTAATATAGACTCAATCAAACATATTAGAACCTGACCATGCCTAGATTGTCCCGGGAGAAAATCAAAAGGGAGACCCACTTATCTTCACAAGGGCTGTTTGCTGAGCATGAAGTAGAGCAAAGAGTGGGGACATGTGCTAAGGAAGGTAACATTAAAGCCATGATTGAATTAACACTGCTAACTCTGCTCACTTGATCCTGTTTTTCTGTGTTTCATGCTGGTCAATGTGCTTTTAATGATACATTAAATAAATAATACATAAATGGTATTTAATGATATATGAATATATCTGCTATTTTAAGTCATTTTTTAGACTAGGGTTAATACCACTTTTCTACCTTTTGTCCATATCTGTAATTTCTGTACATTATTGAGATCATTCATTGAAAATCTGTGCCTCTGGTCTTCTGTTACTTGATACCTCTTAAAGGTACAATAATCCATACTT